AGATCCTATTTGAATTGTATAATACTCCTTTGGGAGCAGGCAATTCTGTAAAAAAAAAAAAAGCAGATTTTAGTCATATTGGAGGTGTGATGTCTGGTTTTGCTCCAGACAGGCTCCTCGAAAAATTTGATGCTTTCTGCCTGTGTAATCCTCACTTGCTTGCAGTTTAAAAATACAAGCATAAAATATATATATGTATATATGTGTGTGTGTGTGTGTGTATGTGTGTATATATATGTGTGTGTGTGTGTTTCTGTGTCTATAAATTATAAATATAAATATAAATATTTACATCAGCTGATAACACATGAACCAGTGTATCAACTGGAAACATCTCAAAAACAGAGGCAGTTAATTTGAAATCATTAGCTTTTATCCAAAGGAAGGGGAAAGTTTTAAAATCATGTTCTGTGTCTCCAGAAAGTGAATATTTGGCCTAGCTTCTGTACAGCTAAAGTACAATATTTTAATCCCAATATTGAATGTTCAGGTAGAGCATCATGGTTCAAATCATCTCCTTTTCCCTCACAAGAGAGGAGGGAGCCGATGGAAAATGTTTGGTTTATGGCATTGTATTTTTAGCTTTCATTTCATTTTGCCTCCACGTTTGTAATAGGAACCAAATGAATTTAGGCTGTGAGTGAATTTTGTCTTAACAAAGAATTCCATTGATAGGGAGTTTTCAGGCCCATCGTTGGAGTTTGGCAGGAAAGAGCAGCTCCCAAATCTGCCCAGCAAGAGAGAAATTGCATTTATCTGTGTACATAGAGATAAAAATAAAAAATCCCATCTATATAAACAGATCCAAATCCTATCGATATAAACAGATTGTAAGAATAAAGTCTTGGATTTGGGTTTATTTTCAACCATTGTAAACGGGAGTTCATGTGCTCAGTGCAGAACTCTCATTGTTTGTCAGAGCCCAGGTGCAAATAAAATCTTCTCCATCAGGAGCTGTAATTTTGTGTTATTTTATACTACAACAGAGAAGGGTCCAGATGCAGCTGGTTTTTGTCTCCCTCTTTCCTCCTTGTTCAGTCTCAACCTCTAAGTGAGCGCTGGGGAAAAGTGAAACTTAATGATTATGAAGTTAAAAAGAATTTTAAACAGCGAAAGCAAACTTCTGTTCCGGAGCAGTTTCTGCACACACCTGAGCAAACTCTTACAGTTATAGAAAGCAGATGTGAAATCATAAATAAAATACAGCTTTTGCTATTCCTTCTCTGTGTTATAATTACCACAATTTGTGCTGATGAGTGGAGGAGTTGAATGTCTGTAGTGTGCAGTAGCTTAATCTTGTATTTCTGGGAATTTTGGGAATTGCTGTCCTCTACATCTCCCTTCTTGCTCAGAACTTTTCGTTCAGTGCCACTGTCAGTCTGAAAAATCAGAATTCTCCTGGTGTGTCTCTGGCTAGCAGATCAGTGCTTGGAAATTCCCAATCTCTCCTTGGTTCTCTTTAAAGGATTTAAATTGAGAATTTATTAGTGAGAGGTGTTGGGTAGTTGCTGTTGGTGCTGTGTTTTCTGCTTTTTGGTGAGTTTTTTCTTCTAATGCATTGAAATTATATTTTTTTACCATTTAAAATATAGGTAGAAACATTTTCTTCTTACAAATATTAAACTTGTAGATGAATATTTTAACTGTGAAAAGCTGAGTAGCTCTCTTGTCACCAAGCTATTTGGTTGGGATGTGGAATTGAATTCTTACTTTGAGAAGGAAGGGAATATCTTTGCCTTAGGGAGTGTACATTTGAAAAGTGTGGTTGGAAGATAAACCCCACAGATTTATAGGAAATAACAGCCTCAGGATGAAGGAGAACAGGATTAAATTAGATATTAGGAAGAATTTTGTGATTTTTTTTTGTGGGTGGGGAGGCCTTGACTCAGGGTGCCCAGGGAGGTTGGGGATTCCCCATCCCTGGCAGTGCCCAAGGCCAGGTTGGACACTGGGGCTTGGAGCAGCCTGGGATAATGGGAGGCGTCCCTGCCATGGCAGGAATGGGAATGGATCATCCTTAAAATCCCTTCCAAACCATTCCGGGATTCTGTACTTCATGAAATTTAATTTAGCTTGCCTTCAGTTCTCCTGCCCAAACCTGATGAAGAACAGTTTCAGAATTTAGTTGTGCCACCCTTCAACCAGTTTAGTTATTAAATTATATTAAATTTATTTAAATTTATTTAAAAATCTATTAAATTTAAAGTGTGTCTCTGGAAGGTTGTGAAATCCAGATTTTCCGTGATGATCGTGGGTGTGAGTAGCTGCAGATCCTGTCAGAGCCTGAACACGGAACTGCTGCAGCTTCTGGGATTCCACAATCCATTCAAGCTTGGAGCAGAATCTTCCAGGATTTCCAGAATTTTCCAGGGAAAGCCGTGTCCAGCAGTTTGGGTATTCCCTGCCCTGTGTTGGATGCCTGGGCTGCTCCCAGATGTGTCCAGGAGTTCCTGAGCCAACATTTCTCACACCAGTGGCCACCAGAGGCTGCTGCAGAACGGCAGATGCTGCTGGAATAGGAGAGATTGGGAATTGCAGCTGGATCCTCGGCTTAAATCACACAGTTCTCACATGATTCTATTCCTGTTCAGTGGACTTGAAGCTGAAAGTAACCCTGACTTTGCACAGAAGTTCATTTCATTATACAATAATGGTATTTTTTTCTGTGCCAGTGTAATTGTGGGGACAGCCCACTGGTTCAGCATCCCTGAGTCTGGAACTTTGTGTGAAGGAAGTTCTTACAGTAAAAATGAATTTTCCTACTGTGACCAGTACTTGAAACTTTGTTAAACATGTAAACCCATATTTTCTTAGGAATATGTAAAAATCCGCATCTTTGATTATGTGTTTATGTTTTTGATCACATCAATAAGCACATGGATGTTCTGGTGGAAATTAGCTTTATAATAATACACATTGAACAATTCTTAAATGGTTCAGGATGTGTTAAAAGCAGTGAAATCAAGAAGTTTGCCTAAAATCTGTGGGGAAAAAAAATCACTTGAAATAATATACTCAGGAGAGTAAATGGTTGGGATTATGTGGCGTATTTGTGATAATGGAACATCACACAGAAATAGGCACTATTTTGTTCTTTGCAGAAAATACTCTGTGACAAAAGCACATCATAATTTCTGACACAGCCTCAAGCACTTTCATTATTTATTTACAATGTAATCACACTTTAATCACCTTTATTTTGCAATTTAATTTCTGTCAGACTTTAAACCCATCCTTAGGTGAGTTAAAGTTCTGTCTCTGTGTGTAGGGACTTGCACATCCAGTGCTGCTGAGTGAATTTCTATGTTTGGAAAGCAATAGGAAAACACTCTTTGATTAAGCACAGTTTTTCCATGTTCTCCCTGACAGAAATGAAAGCTGTAATTTTTCTAAATATCAGTTACAGCCAATCAGTTACTGTGGGTATGTAAAACAAGTAGGATAATGTGTAAGGAATTTATTTATTCTGTCAAAGCTCTGGTGTTACTGTGAGTGAAGGTGCAAGTCAAAGAAATGCTCACAAAACCTTTAATCATCATCACATCATCATTTATGCAGAGCAAAAAATAAAAAAAAAAAAGGAGGAAAGGAAATATTTAAAGATATTTTATCCCAGAGTTTAGACAGAAAATATTCAGAGGGAGCTTTAGGAAAGCAAGATATGAGGACTGATTTCTCTGTAATTTAGCTGCTGAGTTGTTCTTAGGTTGTCCTGGGGCTTGGAACCAAGTGCTTGACAGGTTTTGGGAAAAATTATTCTTTTCTTTGTGTCCTACTCTGGCCCTGGTGCTGCAGGGCTGACACAAAGGCAGCAAAGGGTGGGAAATTTGAGAATAGGTCATGTCTGGGGGTGGAAATCCAGAGGAAGGTGTTGGGAACAGGAGCACTTCTCTCATTCCTTCTCCAGGTTGAACAGTGGGATGTGGAAAAGAGGAGTTTTTCCTTGGATGGATGACTGTTTATGGGAAGTTTGCTCTCAGCTTGTGGTTTGTGGGTTTTGAAGAGTTGGGCTGGAGCTCAGAGACATCTTGTTCAAGGGCAGGAGAGTTTAGTCCTGCCTTCAGCGTCACACAGGAAAATATTCCAGTTCCCTGATACAGCAGTGATGGGAATGAGGGGTGTGGTTTTGGTAAGGACCTTTTTTATTTAAAAATCAGATCTCTTCCTCTTGGAAATTTGAGGGCAAGAATCACTAGTGCCTTATTTCCAGTCAAATTGAAACCACCATTTTTTGTGGTTTCATTTCTCAAGTAAAAGACAACTTCAACTCACTGAAATCTAAGCTGCACACTGAACAAGAAGTCCCAGAATCTGTGTTTGTCGCTGTTCCTAAAGACATGGCAAACATTTAATATCAAACCTCTCAAAGTTATCTTTAATAAGAATATTCATATAAATTAATTGTAAATATGTATAAATGTATAATTATAAATATGTATAAATAAATAAATATATTTATATATATATATAATAATAAATATAAATTAAGAATTAGTTATCTCCAGCCAGAGTGAATGTGGAGCAGTTGTTTCAGGGTGTCACCAGATGGGTTCTAATAGCACTAAATCATCCCTTAGATGAAGGTTTGAGCATTTTTAGCAGATACTCCACTGAGAAAGCAGCAAATGTTTGTTTTACTGCTGGTTTAGCCTTTAAATCGAGTCTTGGTGAGGGACTAAAGGGCTTCTTCCAGCAGAGGATCTCAGCACGTTGAGAAACATGAACACTTCATGTAGGAAGTGCACTACAAACCCTGCTACAGAGAAAAATTAAGCTTAATTAACCTTCAAAGAAGTGTGGTCTCAACTCTAGGACAGTGTCAAGTAGTCAGGCTAGGCTGGACTAGAATGAACAGCAGCACTTTGTTTTTGAAGAGGAAACAGAGTTAATTTCCCTGTCTGAAGGAGGAGATGTCTTGAATGAAAATGTTTTTGGAAGAATGTCCTTGTGTCTTCACAGGGGGTGATCTGTCTTTCTCATCTCATTTCCCTTGCCTGCAGGAAATCCATCTCGCTTTCCTGAAGTGGCTGGAGGGGAACGTGGATGCTGAGGGATTAAGGGCATCCAGCAAGGTGTCTCTGAAATTTGTTTCGTCCTGTGAGTCCAAAGTGGAAGTGACTCCGTCCCTGATGCCGGTGATCACGGAGATGGGGAGTTTCTCCTCAGAACATTTCAGCCTGAAGAACTACCAGCAGCATCTCCAAACCAAGAAGCTGGGAAAGATCCTTCTTTTCACTGAGGTGACCACCACGACCATGAATCTTCTGGATGGGTAAGATGGGGGATCCAGGGCATCCTGAATTAACTTTCTGATCGGGGATTCATAATTATGGTGGCGCACAGTGTTCAGGAAAAAAACGATACAAAGTAGAGAATTTATGTTCACAGGATATTAATTGATAATATATAAAATACTGAGCCATAAAGGGTAGGGAAAGCTGAGTGGGACAACTTTCTGCTTGGTAGTGGAGTTTAGTCTTTATTCCTCTGAAGATCACCGTAAGAAAATTTAATCTAATAAATATTCATATTTAGATTAAATGCCTTCTCTAGTGCAAATTATTCTCTAAGCCTGTTACTTGAGAAGAGTGACACTGAGCAGGTTGTGCCCCTAATTTTAACATTCCTCTTTTCTCTCATTTCTTTTGCTGAATATTTCCCTAAAATGCTCTTTAGTGCTTGGTTTGGGTTTTTAAATCATGGATTAGGGTTCTGCTAGAGGTTCTTTCATCATCACACAGACGATCCTTGTGAATGAGCTGTGGGATACCTTAGAGAAGGTTGTTCATTAGAGTTTAAATGGGATTAAGTGATAGGAAAATCACAGTTACTAAATCTCAGCTTGGAGTCTGTGTACAAAGGCTGTACTGTCGTGTTTAGTGGAAATTTGATGGAAAAAACTGTCTTGGGGAAGTTGTTGCTCTTCAGGACAGAAACTCCAAGCCTGCAGCTGTAAATTCTTGTGGCAGTTAGTTTTGAATATCAAGGTTAATTTACCTGCAGGAATCGCAGACAAATTTTACAGGTGAAAAACAACCTCAGGAATTTTGTTTGGGATTTTTTCTTTAATTGGGGATTAAATTGTCTCGAGTATTTTTATCACTGATGAGTTAACCAATAATGGCTTCAGTTCTCAGCCTGGAGCCTAAATTGCAATTTATGGACAAATACAAATCTCAGTTCCAAACCATTCTCTGTGTGTTCAAACAGCCACACATTAAAAAGATGTTGCTGTCTGATTTTGCCAATCCTCTCCCCCAGATTTACATCCTGCAGCTGATTTTGCAGAGATAGAGACATGCCAGTTTGATAAGAGGCCATGAGGAGTTGTTTTACAGAAATACAGTTGTTTGTAGCGTTTGCTTCTTCATTTTTAGTGCTCACAGCATGTTCAGCCCACAGGGTTGGAAGAGGACTGTAAAGAAATTGGTGATAATTGAATAAATCAGGAGGTTTCTTCCCTCACAGCTGGTTTTGGTTCTCAGTAACTTTATTCCAACGTCTCAGTAAAATGAAGTGTTTAATTCAGGGTTTTGTGATTTGATTTGGATCAAGCTAAATAGAATCTGACCAATTTATGAATGATTAATTATCAAGGCAAGGGAGATAAGAGAAGTGGTCTTGGTTTTTCAGATGTGTTTAAAGGTTGCTTTTTTTATATTGAGTAATCCAAATACAATGAAGTGCTCACAGATGTAGGTCTTCAATGTTTCCCCCACCATGATGAGGCTTAAATAGTCAATTTTCAGGTAAGTGGTAAACTACAAGTCCTGGTTCTAAGTGGCTTATGCTGGGAAGGTGGTCCTAGATTATAATTTGAATTAAAAATATTAATTTATTAATAATCTGTTTTACATTAAATTTATCTCACAGAAAGACCTTTGTATTAAGTTAAAATAATTGTCTTAAGTGTTATGGTTGATGCTGTAAATACTCTGTTGTCATGGATAATAGAATAATATAACCCTTGAGATTTGCAGTTCACTAAAGAACCTTGAGTTTTAAATGATAACATTTCCTAAATCTCTAGAAAACGATGCAAAAATCAAGTAATTTTTATTGGGGGAAAAAGTTGTCAGATTTTTAAGGTGCTTCTGAAAGAAGCAATATGAATTTGTTAGGATGTGTGTGTGGTGCTTGTGTCTAATTGCCAGTTCTGAATGAAAGGAACATACATCTCAGGAAAAAGAATTTTCTTTGCTTGAAGAAAAAATAGTTACTTATTCATCCTTCAGGATTCCCAGAAAAATGTTGCAACACTTCCTTTATGTAATCAGGCACTGCATGAGGGACTCTGTTAGCGTCTCCCAAATTTGATTCTCTCAAATTTTACCAAGTTTTGATGGTTAAAAATACACAGACACCTCGAGATCCTAATGAATGGGATTTGTTGTAAATTGTTTAATTAGTAGATTATCCCAAAAGTTCAGCATTTAACTTCTGTGACTTCAGATTTTCTCGTACTTCTCCCACCAGCTGGATGCCAAACTTCTGCCTCCCTTTTCCACCTCCCCAAACTTCCATACCCCCCAAAAATGAAGAGATGGAAGAGGGGGAAAAGGGGCTGGAATTAATTTAATGGCTGAGCAACCTCACAGTAGAGAAACAGCCGGAGCCTAATAGGGGCCTTTGTCTGCATTTCCACCCTGGCTGGGAACGTGCCAGTCAAAAGTCAGGCAGGAGGAACAGGTGGGAACTATTAGACCTGTCATAAAGTTTGAAAAATTGATTCTGGAGGCTGAGGGAATAGATTGGACTTGACAGTGTTGTCCTAAAGATTCTAAGGGAAAGTTGTGTCGTTTAATTTGGGATCCCTTGATTGTTCATGAGCTCTCCAGATGGTGGCTGGGGTGTTTGGTGCTCACTGTACTGTCCCTGGCCTGCATTTGTGTGTCCTGAGGTCACAGCAAAGTGAGAATTCACCTGTAGGTACCCGAAATTTAGTGGCATTGGCCTAATTGTCAAGTAAAAATTCCTTAAAATGTTGTATATTATTTTAAATGTTCAATATTTCTTCTGTGATTTCATGTTTCAGGCTGTTTTTTAAAGCGCTGCAACTTTTAGTTCTCAAACTGAAATTTCAAATCCTCTCCCAAACATTGTTTTTTTTCTGTAAAAGGAAATTCTTCCTGAGTGTCGGAATTCTTTTTTTACCAGTTGTTTATCCTAGTGCCACCTGACCAGGTTAACCCTGCCAGAAACTGTTCCACTTTCTGTGCCTCCTCAGAGCATCCCTGGGAATGCAGGTTTTAAAATGAAACCATTGTTTTTGAGGCTGCATCTGGTCTAGTGATACACCAGATTATGACATTGTTATATTATAGAGACACACTTATTACACTCATAAGGCTGGAGAGTAACAAAGAAATATTTCTGTTTCTAATGTTTCTGCACACCCTAACTGGCTGGAATGGTTTCATGAGCATTTCACTAAAATTAAATTAATGAGATAGAAATTTCAGTTTTATTCTTTATCTTAGATCCAGTTTCAGTATTTTAGTTGGCAGAAAATTTGATTTACACGTGACTAAGCCAGCACGGGATATATTCTGTATGAAGTGCCATTGTGGATCCCTTTTCCCCAATATTTAAAAAGCACAAAGTGCTATTGTTAGGGAAAGTTTGACACAAAAGCGATGAATTTTAGTGGAAGTGAAATGTGGGCTGAGGTTCCTTTCATAACTGCTGAATAGGATATTTAAATAAAATGTCAATTGAGAATAAACAATTTCCAAACAGCTCAAAGCTTTGCAGAAGGAAATCTTTTCCATTGTTGGTGCCCTTTTACTTTCCTAGATGCATACTGCTGAATTTTGAAAATCTGAACTACAGCTCTAATTTTGGCAAGTGAGCATGAAGACTCATTTTATTTGAAAACTCTTGGTTTAGTTGAATTGAAAATACAGATGATGCTGATGCAGGTCTGAGTTAAGGAAAACTAGTGTGTAATTGAAGGAGATGGGAACGGCACTTCAGGGGCAAACAAGCTGAGATTGACAAACTGAGTTAGGGACTGGGGGATTTTTAATTTTGTTTTCAAGCCCTTGTGATGTTTTACTCTGTGTTTAGTTATTCCTTGCACCTTGGTGATGCCCCTTATTCTCCATTGAAACTGTATTCTTAAAAAGCTGAATGATTGGGATGAGCTTTAAGACCCCTTCCCACCCAAAGCATTCCATGGTTCCAGGATAAATTTTGTATTTTAGCATGGTGACACTCTCCCAGTACATTGTTAGCCTGTTAAAAATGAGTATTTTATCACCAACATTAACAGTTTGTATAAATTAACCCTCTCCACCCTCCTCCCTCAGGAATTTTGGTTGGGGAGTTGGAGAATACCATGGTGTGCAGGAAGGATTCTTCCTTGCAGGAAAGGTGCCTTTCTCTCAGGAAATGGGAACTTTAAATAGGAATTTATAAAACCGTGTGCTGTTCAGACCCTGCACATCTTCTATACTCAATCTTTTCTGCAGCTACATAACTCAAAAATATTTTGTCAGTTTGGATATCAAGGTCACAATACTTGATATTGCCTTTAAAAACTCAGATCCCTTGATTTTGTTAAACTCTAGGATGGGATAGGAATGCTTTGCTTGATTAATGTCTTAAGTATAATCCAAAGTTTGATACTAAGAGCAATAGACCTGCTCTTTACATTCCTAAATACAGGATTATTTATTTATTTATTTATATCTTATTCCTTCATTATTTACATCACTTCTATCACCAACTTTTAACCTTTCATTTCTTAATTTATTTACATGGTTGAAGGACTTTTTATCCTCAAAACAAAAAAAGTTGTTGCATTAAATAGCTGCTTCTATGCTTTTCTTCCTCAAGGGTGTTCTTTTATATTCACTATTTTGTGCCTTCCTTTGGTGATAAACACCAGCTCAAATAAGAGAGGAAGGTTTGTTTCCAAATTACATTGTTATATTATAGAGACACACTTAATACACTCATAAGGCTTGAGAGTAACAAAGAAATATTTCTATTTCTAATTTCTAATAATATCTATAAAATCAAAATTAAGTTCAACAGTAGGGTTTTTTTTGCTAATTTAGTTTTAAATGTACAGTATTTCATACTTTATTCTGCCATTCATTTCTGGGCAGTGATTTTCACCAGCCAGTGCTGGAGAAAGCTCAGCCTGATAAGAAAAGATCACACAGGAATTTTTATGACACAGCCCTGACATGACTCTGTTCATCCCCTCGCCTGTAAAAAGGGAAGAATTCGGAAGGTTTTGGCACTGATTTGGTCCTGTGCCAT